CCTTGACCCGAAGGCACAAATCTCTCTAGCTCTGTAGGTCAGCGAGCCTAGCTCTACCAAGTACTCAGAGACACCCCACTCTGCCAGCAAGCCTCCTGCCCAAAGCTCTCTCACTTAGTGGGCCAGGAAGCCCACTGCATCGTCTCCTGCAGATCTCCTGGTTCTGCTGCTGCCAGTTCTCTGCTGCGCTTGCTACTGCTTCTCACCATCATGTGCTGTGTCCAGTGTTACACAGCTCTCTGTCTCCTGGGTCTACGAGGTTCTCAATGCAGGGACCCCAGGTCCAAAGGATGCACTCTGCTCCTGGCTCTTCTTTTTTGGTGGTAGTGAGATCCCCCCTCTGCTCTGGGATTGGCTCTCTTTTAAGCCTACCAGATAGCAAAAATAACCAATCCCCTTGTTAAGGTAACATACACCTTATTTGCATGGTCCCACCCCCACAAGGGTGCCGTATACCTTATTTGCATTATTAGCAAGTGTCCCTTGGTCAGCCACAAACACATTATTTGCATAGTCCCACCTCGTCATTTGGTGGAAGTTACAAGACCATGATTATAAAGGCCATCTAAAAGCAATCCATTGCACCACAATAGCTTTAAACATTTGTCAATTTTTACTTTATTTTTCAAGATATTTAAAATGCTCAAACTACGTCACTATCACAAAATGTCTTCAAAACAAATGACTAAAATGAATGCGCCCCAAGGGCAGGGGTTTTATTTATTTTGTTTACTAAATTATTCCCAGTGCTTGGAATAGTGACTGGCACATAGTAAGCACTCAATAAATATTTATGGAATGGATGAACTCTTTGTATTTTTACTCAGATTTATATTTACCCATTTAAAGGGAAAGGTCCACTTTAAAAAGTCTAAAGAAAATTACTTATAATGTGTTTTCCTTGTTGAACATTCTATTGGACTTTGCATCTTTGCTTTTATCCCTTTGGATTGTGTGAAGCCATACTTTTTAGCATCATCACAAGACCAGTCACCTTGAAGACTAAGGTGCGCCTGACCCAAGCCATAGTGTTTTCAGTTGCCTCATATGCGTGCAAAAGCTGGACAATGAATAAGAAAGACTGAAGAAGAATTGTCACCTTTGAATTGTGGTGTTGGCAAAAAATATTGAATATACCATGGACCGCCAAAAGAACGAACAGGTCTATCTTGGAAGAAGTACAACAACAATGCTCCTTAGAACCAAGAATGGCAAGACTACATCTCACAGACTTTGGGCAAGTTATCAAAAGGGATCAGTCCCTGGAGAAGGACATCATGTTTGGTAAGGTAGAGGTCCAGTGAAAAAGAAGAAGACCCTCAATGAGATGGATTGACACGGTGGTTGCAACAATGGGCTCAACATAACAAACAATTGTGAGGATGGTGCAGGACTGGGCTGTGTTTTCGTTCTGTTGTACAGAGGGTCGCTATGAGTCAGAAGCGACTCAACGGCATCTAACGACAACAAGAAGACCAGGGGACTCTGAGCATGTCTTTACTTTCACTGGCTCAGAGGTCATGTTAGCAAATCACACACTTTTATGTAAGCATGTGGCACTCCAAATCCTCTATCAGCACCCACTGAAGGCTGGAGCATGTGAACACATAGTCATAATTTAACCAGACTTGTAAACGGCTGCTTTTAGCACATCTGAAGATGGGTGGGAACCAATAATTGTCCGTAGCCAAATTTCCCATACATGTAATAAGTCATTTTTGATGTTTAACATTGATGACATGTTTTGAAATTTGACAATGCTGATAAACAGAAATGAAGAGGTGTTTACTTACAAGCGTCTTCTCTTCCATACCAAGATTCTGAAAGCTAAAATAAAACTGAAGGGCCTTTTAAGAAGGATAAGGTGGGCTGCAAAGTGGAGGCTGAATAAGGACCAGGAAAAAATACCCCTAGAAAATAATAAAGCTGGGATGATACCATGTGGTTAGGAAATTCTAGAAGTTCTATCTTTAAGTATCCATTCAGGTTCTTCCACTTTTTATGCCTCAGCAATTATTGTTCTTACCCATCATGCAAAAGTTTCATAGGAAGGGTAAATGGAATTTTATAATTGATCAAAGTGTAAATACTCTTTAAGAGCAAATATTAAAAAAAATACATGTCAACTCCTTTGCTTCCTTCTAAAATGAAAATCTCTATCAGTGGATTTTGCTTTGTTTTGTAAGTTGACATTTTCATGTATAAAGTTTCCTTAAATCAAGGCTTTCAATGGTGACAATTTCACTTTGGAATTTCAGACACAGTTTTGGTTATCTCTCTCATACTCGCTCACTCTTTTTTTTTTTCCCCTGTTAAAATATTTCTATTTCCTTTTCATCATTTAGTGAATAATTTGCACTGTTCAAATCTCAAGATTCAAGGAAACTGGAAATCCCTATTAATTTGGGAATGGCACAGTGATCAGCACTGACAATGCCAAAGCCTCAAGAAGGGTTTTTAGTTGCCAAACACATTACAAAGATTGGACCGGCTTGAGTGCAATGCCTTAGAGAAAAGTTCAGACTGATTTCTAGCTCACTCCTTTTTTTTTTTTTTTAATACTTTTTAAAATTTTTTTATTGTTGTAATTAAATGAAGTTTACATTTCAAGTTAGTCTCCCATACAATTTTTTTTTTTTTACATACATTGTTTTGAGACCCTAACTGCTCACCCCATTCTGCAACAGCACACTCGTCCTTTCTGCCCCTGATTCCCCATGACCATTCAACCAGCTCCTAACTCTCTCTGCCTTCCCATCTCACCTTTCGCCAGAAGCTGCCCCTTTGGTCTCTTGTATCTACTTGACTAAGAGGCACACTCTTCACGAGTATCACTTTATGTCCTGCAGTCCAGTCCAAACCCTGTCTGAAGAGTTGGCCTTGGAAATTGTTTTAGTTCTGGGCTGATAGAGAGTTCAGGGGCCGTGCTTTCCGGGGCGCCTCCAGTTTCAGTCAGACCATTAAGTCTGGTCTTCTTACTAGAATTTGAATTCTGCACCCCATCCTTCTACTGCTCCATCAGGGACCCTCTGTTGTGTTCCCTGTCTGGACGTCATTGGTGGTAGCCGGGCACCATCTAGTTCTTCTGGTTTCAGGCTGATGAAGTCTCTGGTTTATGTGGCCCTTTCTGTCTCTTGGGCTAATACTTTCCTTGTGTCTTTGGTGTTCTTCATTCTCCTTTACTCCAAGTGGCTGGGACCAATTGATGCATCTTAGATGGCTGCTTGCAAGCTTTTAAGACCCCAGACGCCACTCACCAAAGTAGGATGCAGAATATTTTCTTAGTAAGTTTGTTATGCCAATTGACCTAGATGTTCCCTGAAAACATGGTCCCCAGACCCCTACCTTGCTACTCTGTCCCTCAAAGTGTTTGATTGTGTTCAGGAAACTTCTTAGCTTTGGTTTAGTCCAGTTGTGCTGACTTCCCCTGTAGTGTGTGCTGTCCTTCCCTTCACCTAAGATGATTCTTATCTACTATCTAGTTATAGCTCACTTCTTTTTATTATAAGTCTAGGGAAAAGGGTTATGAAAACCCTGAAAGGACAGGGTTTGTCTTGGTTTGATATGATTTGCCCAAGCTTGGTGTTAGTCATAACCTGCCACACAGAAACAAAATGAAACAAAATTTCACATGTGTACCTATTAGCAACATTTTGTCTTACTTGTAGGGAAGAACTAGAGTCTTGATGCATCAGCTATATCAGTATTTCCCAGTAGACATGTTGTGATAATCCAGTGGATCTTGGCAGTTTACATGATCAGTCTCTCAGCCAATGGTCACATCTGATTTGCCCCATTACCCCCAATCACTTGTGGGTATTTCCCACTTGGTGGCCTCCTCACTCTCTCTGTACAGCAACGTCATTAGTTCCCACTCCCTGCTTAGTGGCTTCATTGTCAACGTTTAAATATACCAAGTGATCATTAGGCTTATGAGAAAGAAGTGACTCCTCTTTAGGAACCTAACCAAAGTGAAAAAGCTGTTGCTGTCAAGTCATTTCTGACTCATGGAGATCCCAAGTGTTACAGAGTAGAACGGCTCCATATGGTTTTCTTGGCTGTAATCTTTACAGAAGCAGATTGCCAGGCCACTGGGTGGGTTTGAACTGCCAGCCTTTAGGTTAGTAGTTGAGCATAAACCGTTTGCATCATGCAAGGACCTTTAGGAACCTAAACTATTAGTCATAAGCCTATTCATGAGATCATTTCATCATATCAAACTCTCTTATAAATCCCCAAGATATGAAAATTTCTTCATATTGACAAATAGGCTAAGAGAACTTTGCTTAACTCAGTTCAGTGATTCAGATCTAGTCTGGGTTGTAGAATATTTTCAAAGAAGGTATTTTGTTACTTTCAAGCACACAGAGTAAAATAAACTAACTAATGGGGTGTTGCTCATAGGGCTTTATTTAATGGATTATGAAAAATTGGTTTTTAGCTCCTTTTGGATTATATGGAGGCTGATGAAGGTACCCACAAAGTATCTTCCACTACTTAGTCTATGCTGTCTATTTGTACTTTTAATTTTCAGAGAAAAGCTTTTACTTGAGATATTGTAAATCCAGCCTATGAGCAAAGTATTTCCAATTCCATATTGTTGTTGTGTGCCATTGAGTTAATTCTGACTCATAACGACCCTATAGGACAGAGTAGAACTGCCCCATAGGGTTTCATAGGCTGTAATCTTTACAGGAGCGGATCGACAGGTCTTTCTTCCTGTGGAGCTGCTGGTGGGTTCGAACCACCGACCTTTTAGTTCCATGTTAGTGGGATACAAATTAATGAGGGTCATTCATTCTTTGTCCACACAGCTTGATCTGTGAGGTTTTTTGGAGAATGCCCATATGATCAAAATACAGTCCCTAGTCCAGTGGAGATAAGAGAATGTCAGATAATGAAATATAAGCATTTTTGCTTTGTTCTTTAACTCTCTTCCCAAGATTTCTGTAAAACTGGAATCAAATAGATAAATTGATTCTCCATACTTTTTCTTTTAGTTGTTCAAGTTGGTTTCCCATGTCTTGGAAAACAAGATGGAGTGGCGGCATTTGAAGTGAATGTGATTGTAATGAATTCTGAAGGCAACACCATCCTCCAAACACCTCAAAATGCTATCTTCTTTAAAACATGTCAACAAGGTAATCATTGATGGTGGTCCCAGGGAAGGCTCATGAGGCTTTCAGGTGTGATTTGGGCAGAGGTGATCTTGGATATTCTGTATATCACATGTTGGTCCTATTCTTCAGATAGCCCAGGCAACTATAATCACCTACTTACTTTTTCCCTAATGTTTTGTTTTTAAGTTATCTACAATCTATGAATCAAATCAATTAAAAGAAATGGCATCCTCTTGCCCTTCTTATTTACAGCTTCTTAGGTAACATTCTCCCAAAACAGTCACTGATACATTGTAAGAACTCAATACATCTTTGTTGAATAATATTATCCGGTCCTTTCTGTCAACCTTTACTAAAAGAAATGCTGTGTTTCCCAGTTAAACCTATAATTCTTGCTGACTTAATAATAATTAACACAACTGAGCATTAGCTTTGTGCTAGATACTATCAAACATTGTTTACATGCATTATCTCATTTAATCTTTCAGCAGTCCTATGAGTTACATACTAGTATTAACAACTCCTGTTTACAGGTGAGGTGGAATAACTTGTCGAAGGTTACGCAGCTAGTAAGTCGGGAAGCTGAGATTTGAACATGTCAATCCAACCCCAAAATATAGGCTCTTGGCTTTTAAATTATACTGTTTCCCATCATCCAATAAAAAAATTATAAGGATTTTAAAGGTTCCTTTAGGTGTGAGTCCTGACTCATTAACACGAATATTACTATTTTGAAAGGGATTTAAAGTTTGAATCTCTAGCTGGTAAAGCAAACAGTCCTCTCCATCTCCCTTCCTCTCCACTTCCCTCCCTAAAAAAAAAAAAAAAAAAGAAATGAAGTTAGAAACCTTCAAACTCCCAGGGACTTAAAACCCTTAAGGTTGCCTCGTGTCATTCATGAAGGCATGGAAATAGTATGGTCGTAACTACAAGAAGTCCTGTTACCAAAGTCACTAGCTGCTTGCATGAGCACTATTGTTGGCAAATGTTAACAATAAACTCAGATGGATGGAAAGGCCAAACAAAGGCACCTCTAGGGTCAATCTACCAGTAACCAATTGCCATAAAGTGGATTTCGACTCATGGCAACTCCATGTGTGTCAGATTAGAACTATGCACCATAGGGTTTTCAATCGTTGAGTTTTTAGAAGTAGGTAGCCAGGCCTTTCTTTGGAGGCATCTCTGGGTGGACTTGACCCTCCAGCCTTTTGGTTAGCAGCCAAGCATGTTAACCATTTGTAACTCCCAGGGACTCTTGTAATCAAGTAAGATTAAATCAAGTAAAATTTAATTAATCCAAAGTATACAAAAGGTAGTCAACTCAATCAGGAAACACAGTTGGGAGATCAGCAGTATTTCCCAGGACAGAGAGAGATGCAACTTTTCAGACCCCAAGATCCTCACCAGTGTTCATACAGTGACAGATGATAAAATCTGAGTGAGGATCATATCAGACCTTCTGGAAGGTCAACCCTGTCTTTCTGGACCTAGCCTTAAACACATAGCTGGAGGGGAGTTTTGCATGTACATCGTTGGGATATTGCTGGATATTGTTGGGAATCACTTCACTTTGTCAGGTGCATTTCCTCACTCTTGGGCTTATACAGTGTGACTTATGACTATAGTAGAATGCAGTATTTATACTCAGGCATGAAGACAGTTCTCATTTATTACCTTCAGCCTCCGCACAAAGCCTGACCCAAGTACACTTATGATCTAAGTGCTATAGAACTACAAGGATATGTTTCTCAGACACACAGGCAGAGTCATAGGCACAGGTCCTTAGATCACATATAAAGCCCATTCTACAGTCTTTTGTATAAAAAACACATTTTATGGGAAGAAAGTAGGGAGATGTCAGGGTCAGAACTCCAGAACAATCTCTGAACTTATATTTCTATGTTATGACGGGAAGTACAAATCCCACCAAGTATATTGAGATTAGAGGCACTCATACAGGGTGCTGGATTCTAGTTTATAAAGCTAAGTTTGCCACCAGTGCTCTGCTTTTATTTTCCCACAACCCAAACAAACACTGCAAAGGTGCAACCTTGGGAGATGAGGGACGCACCAAACTAGAATCCTTTTCGCAGCTTTGCTAAACATGAGAAATGGAAAGTGGGGCTTCTAAATCCTAGAGAAAGGATTGCCCCTGGACTTAGATACACCACGTAGTGTGGATGGGATTAGCTTTTCTAGACGTTTTAGAAATCACTTACCTACAAAGAAAATATACCTGTGACAGTTCGTTTGTTCCCTTTACATCACCAGAAAGCAACCAATCTAAAAGTTAATCCATTCAGTAAACATCTGTTAGGTACCTAATGTATACCTAGAACTGTGCAGGTTGGTTCTATATGATCTTTTCAATTTCACATTGGCTGTAACTCATTTAACATGAATCTATTTGCATATTTATTCGATTAATATCTGCCTCCTCCTTGAGAGCTCCCCATGAGCTCCATGAGGACAGAGATTGTGTCTTTGTTTAGTGCTCATCCAAGCAAGACCTAGAACTGTGCCCCACACATGGTAGGCATCAATACACATTTGTCATGAATGAAGAAACAGCAGAGACCTGAGAACTGTGTACAAAAGAGATGAGAACTAGGAGTGCTGGGTACAACCACAGGAAGAGTAGAAGGTGAAGGACCATGGTTCAACTCTCTGTTGCCCCCTAGAGTAGAGATTTTTAGCTCTCCAGAGTTTCTGCAAACTGCATCGACATCCTCATATTTTTTTCTGCTTAGTTCCTTTCTTCTATTCACCACCCATATTGTGGAGGTTGGTATCTATATATTATACATACTTTATATTCATATATATAAATATAAATATATGCTTCAAATTTTTTGTATAATTGTAACCACATCAATGGGAGGAGGGGCTGGTAAACATAGGGTTTGGTAACAGTATAAGACAGACTTTTGCTGACTTTGTCCCACTTGCAATTTTAGGAACTCTGATAACCCTGGTGGCATAGTGGTTAAGAGCGCTGGCTACTAACCAAAAGGTCGGCAGTTCAAATCCACCCGGCGCTCCTCAGAAACTGTATGGGGCAGTTCTACTCTGTCCTGTAGGGTCACTATGAGTTGGAGTCGACTCGATGGCAATGGGTTAACACTTCTTCAAATTGGCCTGTCTCCCTCTTCTGCTCTTATCCACCCCAAACACCATTTTTGGGAGTCCCAGGAGTATCTTATGGTTATGAATTTCGCCCCTTTTCTTGCCCTGGTTCCTTGTGGCAGGGTTACCAGTCGTTACCAGAAACTACCACCTGCCAAAGGGGACGCATCTATTCCCGCTGCCAAAAGCTTGGGGCTGCTGACTTCCATGGAAGACAGGATGCCACCATCATGCCGCTGGTCCCTGCTGAGCAATGGTATCAGTACCTTGCCACCAGACCTCAGATGACGTTTAACATGAAGGCTTGGTTTCTTTTCCATCCCCATACAAGCTTCTCCAGCACAGAATTTAAGCTCTGAGCCTTTCAGTGCTCTAGAGAGGTACCAAAAAGTCATCCCACCCTCTGAAAATGAATATTGAGGGCAATATTATTCATTCTATTAAAGTATGAATTTAAGAAGATACAGTAAATTGATAGATTGGGGTAAAAGCAGAATAAAACCCACTTTGCCTTCTTAAAAGGAGCCCTGGTGGAGCAGTGGTTAAAGTGCTCAGCTGCTAACCAAAAGGTCAGCAGTTTGAACCCACCAGCTACTCTGGAGGAGAAAGATGTGGCTTTCTGCTTCCATAAAGATTTGCAGCCTTGGAAACCCTATGGGGCAGTTTGACTCTGTCTTGTAGGGTCGCCATGAGTCAGAATTGACTCGACAGCAGTGGATTTGGTTTGGTTTTGGTTTCCTTCTTAAACGAGCCCCTGACAGCTGGAAGTTGGATTGAGGGAGGCAAAATCTTACTCTGAACATGTAGTGGAGTACAAGTAGTATACAACAACAAACAACAGCCATTGCCATCCAGTCGATTCCAACCCAAAGCGACCCTATACGCCAGAGTGGAACTGCCCCATAGGGTTTCAAAGGCTGTAAATCTTTAAGGAAGCTGACTGCCACATCTTTTTCCCATGGAGTGGCTGGTGGGTTTGAACCATGAGCCTTTAGATTAGCAGCCAAATGCTTAACCACTGTGCCACCCGGGTTCCTCTACAAGTAGTATAGAAAGGATGAAATGAGTGTTCAACAGAGAAAGGTAGAGGTATCGGTGTTAAATAAATTACATAACTGGTGTACTGGAGAAAGAATGAACTCTTCACATTGGCTGTAATTCATCCAATATGACTCAAAAGTTGTCCATGTAAGTCTTATTTCTCTTTGGTGAAGCCGAATGCCCAGGAGGATGCCGAAACGGAGGCTTTTGTAATGAAAGACGTGTCTGCGAGTGTCCTGATGGATTCTACGGACCTCACTGTGAGAAAGGTAAAGTACAGAAACCTGGCTTCCCTTGGTTCCTTCCTAATGAGCGTGGGGGCTGCAGAGCTGCTTGTTAAATGGAGCCTACGCAAGTATTTTAAATATATTCCCTGAGATTATATTTCTGGTCGCATTACAACGATTGGTGAAATTTTTAAAAGGCTCAGAAGTGGTTTTCTGTATAATCCAATATGGAATGATGGGGCAGAGAACTTTGGTACAAAGTCTGCACTCTTTAGGGTCTCTTTCCCCTGCTCCCAAGTTCACTAGCATACAGACTGTACTTTGGCATAGTCTTATGAAAGTTTTGAGGTTTTACCCTCCACTTAAGTTGGAGCTAAAATTTTTACTAACTAAAGTTTAAAACTAACTTTAAAAAAGCTAGCATTACCATTGGTTTGAAATTATCTTTTCAACCCTGATGGCGTAGTGGTTAAGAGTTTGGCTGCTAACCAAAAAGTCAGCAGTTCGAATCCACCAGCTGCTCCTTGGAAAAGCTATGGGGCAGTTCTACTGTGTCCTACAGGGTCGCTATGAGTCGGAATTAACTAGATGGCAATGAGTTTGTTTGTTTGTTTGTGTTTTTAGTAAAAAGTAGTTTGATTCACAATTATTAAGTCTAACTGAGTTATGAAGTATGCAGCAAAGAGAATGGGGAAAATCATTTGTATAGTAAGCACATCTATTTCAGGGAAATTACTTTTAAGAGAATTCTATGAAAAAAAGAGACAAGAAGGTGAGCATTAGTCATCAGACACAAAGAGCTTATGTGACCAGAGAAAGTAAAATATTTTTCATCTTAAAGAAATAAGAATATTTTATTTGCATTTATTTTGGAATTGGAAGAGCAAGGGAAAAAAGGGCAGAGAGAAAATATTTACAGTTTCATGGAGCCCACATTTTAGTCAAAATAATGACTCTGGACAAAAGTTCATCAGGCATTCAAATGGAGCAATTTAAAAATTCTTTTCTATGAAATTGGCTGAGGTGGAGGTAAAAAAATAGCCTGATTTATACCACAAAAAATAGTTTTTAATATAGAAAACTTGGATCCAAAAAGAGTGACCATTTGAGAGTCAACCAGAAGACTTGAAAATATAGACCTGTTGTATTATTGACATTTCCAAAATGGTCCCAATCCACATCCTGTTTGGCCTCAATCAAGGTTCCTTCTCCCTGTTAGCCCTTTGCACACCACGGTGTATGAATGGAGGACTTTGTGTTACTCCTGGTTTCTGCATCTGCCCACCTGGATTCTATGGAATCAGTTGTGATAAAGGTAACAGTTTCCTTCTTTTCTTCTTCCTTCGTTCTTTCCTTCCTTCCTCCTTCACTCCCTTCTTTCTTTTTAAACTTTTGATTAAAATAAGTATAATATATCATCACTTCTCATAATAGCTCTATAAATAGGGTGTATCACTTTGGGTAAAGCTGGCTGCTATAATAACTAAGACCTCCAATTTTAGTGTAGCTTAGCACGGTAGAAGTCTATTTTCACTCACAAAATGCTCCAGTGCAGGTATACCTGGTCCATGGGCAGCTCTGCCCCACACCGTGACTCTGGGGCCCAGGTGCCTTCTGTCTGTGGTCCTGCCTCGAGCTTTGGTGACCTCTGGATCCAGCCAATGAGCAGAGGAAGAGAGAGTGGAGTAGGCGCTCTTTAAAAAAAAAACAACAAAAAACCCTGGTTCAGAAGTGACCCACAAAACTTCCACACCTACTTTATTGGTAGGAATTAGCCTCATGGTCCTACTTGGATGCAGGTGTGAGAAATGTTGTTCCTGACTGAAAATTGTGTCCCCCTCCCCGTCGATAACTCACATTTTGGAAGGGGAACATGGATATTTGTGAACAATTAGCTGTCTCTGCCACATGGGGTTTTTGTATATCCTCAATCAGTTGTATGAGTGAGCTTCTAAAATGGAGAAATTAAAGCAACCTGCTCCAAACTGTCTGGCCTCGAAGTTCACTGACTCCATTTCAAAGCCCTGCTCACAAATCACACCCCTGAGAGATGTGTTCCTCCTTCTGAGCATTTCGCATCTTAGCCCAGGTTTTACTCTCAGAAAGTGCCTTCAGGCTTGGCCTAGGATGTTACTGAATGAGTCATACTCTTTCTAAGATACCTATCTATTTTGCCCACTTCACATCTTTTAAGTGGAAAGAACTTAAAGAATATCCTGCAAAGTGTGAGCCCTTAATGAAGTTATCCTACGGTCAAAAATGCTAATTGCATGAAGAGAGCATTGTATTTGTAAATAAATGTATGCCTTGAAATAAAATGACTAATGTTATTTTTGAGGTGTCTATCTAGTGATAACACAGCATCAATTAAGATGGCAATTAGAAGCTTTTTAAAAAAGAACGAAAAGTTAAGTAAAAAGCCCATAGTATGAGTCAGAATAATAATTTATGATTGTCTGCTATTTTATAGTATACAAAGTGCTTTCATATATTTATATGATATTACCCTCAACAACCTGTTAGGATATGTAAAGTATTACCCTCTCACTTCCAGATAAGCAAAATAAGGTTTATTTTATACTGCCTGAGTACACAAACCTGTTGCTGTTGACTCATAGTGACCCTATAGGACAGAGTAGAACTGCCCCATAGGGTTTCCAAAGCTGTGATCTTTACAGAAGCAGACTGCCACATCTTTCTCCCACGGAGCAGCTGGTGGGTTTGAACTGCTGACCTTTTGGTTAGTAGCTGAGCACTTACCCACTGCACCACCAGGGCTCCCTTCCATAATGTGGTACTCTGCTTCCGTAAAGATTATAGCTTTGGAAACCGAATGGGGCAGTTCTACTCTGTCCTATAGGGTCGCTATGAATCAGAATGGATGGCACAGCAACAGGTTCGGTTAATCTTCACAGAAGCAGACTGCTACATCTTTCTTTTGCAGAGTGGCCAGTGGGTTTGAACCACCGACCTGATTAGCAGCTGAGTGCTTAACCACTGCGCAGCCAAGGCTCCAGAGCTTGAGTAGCTTGACCCAAATTCACATCTTCCCCTTTACCATGTTGCCTGACTCAGCAACCTAATTCAGGTCCTGGTTTCTCCGTGAATGGCTCTGGATCTGGGCATATAAATTGATCTCTCTCTGGGCCATGCTTTCCCCATCTCTAACCTTGGAATTAAGCCATTAAGCTAATGAAGCTAGTTGAGCTCAATTACCTAATTGAGAAAATACGTGAAAGCGTCTCTACACTTTAAAAATAAAACGTGATCTTTTAAAAACTATAGCTTTGGATTTAAAACAATTTTGAAATTTTTTATTTATAAAGATGAAACACTAACAATGCTGATAATAATGAACAGCCAGTGAGCAAATGCCTTATTGTGAAACTCCTTGGTGTTTATCTAAATTTGTTTCAAAATTAGGAATTTGTTGAAGCAGAATTCACCTCATATTACCTCTAAACTATTAGTACATTGAACAAAACCTTCAGGGATTTAGATGAAGGATGCACGTATTCACAAGTTTGAAGAGACCATTTGTGAGGCCTGTTTACATAGATGTGGCTATTATTGGTTTGGTTTGCACAATAGAGTTTCAAATGGGACATTTTTCTAATGCTATGGATACAAACCCTGCGCAGTCGTTGCTGAAAGAATATGCCTATTTATATTCTAGTACTTTTGACATTTTGAAATACTTTATCTTTTAGATGGAAGACTGAATTGTTACTTCAGTCTTTTTTTTTTTTTTTTTAATTATTCTTTCAGAAAGTTGGTTGAAATTCCACTTGGTCTTACTGGAAATCTGGGACTATTTAAAAAATAATGTTCTTCACTACCTCAACAAAAATGTGCTTCTATCATCCCGGAGGAAGTGTGGAACCTCTGAAAAATGGTTTAATTACTGGCATGGAGTTAGGCCTCAGCACTACATATGTGAAGACACATTAAGGAATAATTTTCACTGGCTCTTGGGACGTCTGTAACAAACAACTTAAGGACTTGAGTAGTTAAGAATTGGTCTAACATACTGTTAGCCCCAGTGGCTCATTTTCCTAGTCAAGAATCATTGCACAAGAGAAATGTAGAGACGCTTGGGCAGGACAATAGAATATTATACAAGTACTAAGTGTGTGGCCAAGTTAGATAACCAGCTTTGTCAAAGTCTATAACTTTCAATTAAGCTACCAGGTTCATTCTATTCAGTAAAGGAAGGCATACATAGGGCCTGGGCCAAGCAGGCACTGATCTTGACATATTTTCTTCTCTTATTATTCCCAGGAGACATAGGGGCAGGTGTGGAGACAGGACACACAAAAACAACTGCCCAGCCCTAGCAATGCTAGCAGCAAGGAGCAAAGAAGGGGCCCAGAAAGCTGGTTCTCCTACATTCTATACCCAAATGCTGCTACCTCCTTCTGCAACGAGAGATTTGATTTTGCCAGAACGAGTACAGCATGGCCTTAAGCTGGGAAATACTTAGGATTTTAAACACATAGCTTATCATTTAAGAAGGATGGTATTGGTAGAACTTTTTAGTTGGATTTTTTTTAACCCCACAAAGAAAACTACTCTTATAATTTTTGGATTTCCTTTCTGATTTTTGTACCAAAAGCTTACTTTAGCTTTTGTTCATCTATAGCCAACTTTGGTATGTCTTATATGGAACAAGAACAAATAGGCTATATAAGTGGAATTGCTGAAAGTCCAAGTTCTAATTTTAAACTTTTTTACAGAATGAGCCAGATTGTCTATTTTTAGATATTAGTTTTTTTCCTGGGCCTCATTTCTCTGCCCTCCCTGTTTTAAGTACCAATGAGCAGTGAAATTCCAGAAATTGACACCAAAGGAGAGGAAAGCAAAGGGTTTAGGATTAATCACAAACCGTTTGATTATTACCTGGGTAATCTAGTTATGTTTGCAGCTGTTTCTTCTTATTTGAGTTAAGCCACACCAGCAAATGAAGGTCCCAAAAGCTTTACTCCGTCCACATCGTTAAGATTGACTCTACTTTGAGGAGGCAGCTCTTCCCCAGTTGTATTTTGAGTGCCTTCCAACCTGAGGGTCTCATTTTCAGACACTATATCATACAATGTTCGGCTGTTATTCATAAGGTTTTCACTGGCCTTTTTTTTTCAGAAGTACACCACCAGGTCCTTCTTCCTAGTCTGTCTTAGTCTGGAAGCTCAGCTGAAACCTGTCCACCATGGGTGACCCTGCTGATATTTGAAATACTGGTGGCATAGCTTCCAGCATCACAGCAACATGCAAGCCACCACAGTATGACAAAATGAGAGATGAGTAGATTTGATTAATTAAACAATAATGACCCAAGAATAGATTTGATGCACTGAACACTAATGACCAAAGACCAGATGAATTGTGGGATGACATCAAGGACATCATACATTCAGAAAGCAAAAGGTTGTTAAAAAGAAACAAAAGACCAAAATGGATGTCAGAAGAGACCCTGAAACTTGCTCTTGAACATAGAGTAGCTAAAGCGAATGGAAGAAATGATTAAGTAAATAGAGCTGAACAGAAGATTTCAAAGGGCAACTCGAGAAGACAAAATAAAGTGTTATAACGAAATGTGCAAAGACCTGGAGTTAGAAAACCAAAAGAGAAGAACACATTCAGCATTTCTCAAGCTGAAAGAACTGAACAAAAATTCAAACCTCGAGTTGCAATACTGAGTGATTCTATGGGGAAAATACTGAATGATGCAGGAAGCATCGAAAGAAGATGGAAGGAATACACAGAGTCACTGTATCGAAAAGAGTTGGTCGATGTTCAACCATTTCAGGAGGAGGTAGGTAGCATATGATCAAGAACCGGTGGTTGAAGGAAGAAGTCCAAGCTTCACTGAAGGCATTGGTGAAAAACAAGGCTCCAAGAATTGACGTAATACCAACTGAGATGTTTCCAAAAAATGGATGCCACACTGGAGGTGCTCAGTCATCTATGCCAAGAAATTTAGTAGACTTCTTCCCGGCCAACCAACTGGAAGAGATCTATATTTGTGCCGTTTCCAAAGGTGATCCAACAGAATGTGTAAATTGTTGAACAATATCATTAATATCACACGAAAGTAAAATTTTGCTGAAGCTCATTCAAAAGCAGTTGCAGCGGTGCATCAACAGGGAACTGACAGATGTTCAGGCCAGTTTCAGAAGAGGACATTGCTTATGTATGATGGATCTTGGCTGAAAGCAGAGCATACCAGAAAGATGTTTACCTGTGTTTTATTGACTATGCAAAGGCATTCGACTGTATGGATCATAACAAATTATGGATAACATTGAGGAGAATGGGAATTCCAGAACAATTCATTTTGCCCATGCAGAACCTGTACATACACCAAGAAGCAGTTGTTCAAACAGAATAAGGGGATACTATGTGGTTTAAAATCAGGAAAGGTGTGAATTAGGGCTGTATCCTTTCACCATACTTATTCAATCTATGCTGAACAAATAATTGGAGAAGCTGGACTATGTGAAGAAAAACTCGGCATCAAGATTGGAGGAAGACTCATTAACAACCTGTGATATGAAGATGACACAATCTTCCTTGCTGAAAGCGAAGAGGACTTTAAGCACTTACTGATGAAGATCAACACCACAGCTTTCTGTGTGGACACCTCAACATAAAGAAAACAACAATCCTCACAACTGGACCAAGAAGTATCATCATGATAAATGGAGAAAAGATTGAAGTTGTCAAAGATTTCATTGTACTTGAATCCACAATCAATGCTCATGGAAGCGGCAGTCGAGAAATCAAAGGACATATTGCACTGGGCGAATCTGTTGTAAAAGACCTCTTTAAAATGTTAAAAAGCAAAGATGTCACTTTGAGGGCTAAGGTGCGCCTGACCCAAGCCATAGTATTTTGAATCGCCTCATATGCATGTGAAAGCTGGATAATGAATAAGGAAGACCAAAAAAGAATTGATGCCTTTGAATTATGGTGTTGGTGAAGAATATTGAATATACTATAGACTGCTAGAAGAACAAACAAATCTGTCTTAGAAGAAGTACAGCCAAAATGCTCTTTAGAAACGAGGATGGCAAGAATTTGTCTCACGTACTTTGGAGAGGTTATCAGAAGGGACCAGTCCCTGGAGAAGTATGTCATGCTTGGAAAAGGAGACGGTCAGCAAAAGAGAGGAAGACCCTCAAAGAGATGGATTGACACTGGCTGCAAGAATGGGCTCAAACATAGCAATGATTGTGAGGGTGGCACAGGACTGGGCAGTGTTTGGTTCTCATACATAGGGTTGCTATGTGTTGGTTGTGTTGGAACCAACTCTATTGCACATAACAACAACAATGTAGTTAATTGACTCTGGTTCATGCAGGTGCTGTGGTGGCACAGTGGTTAAGTGCTTGGCTGCTAACCAAAAGTTTGGTGGTTCAAACCCACAAGCCACTCAGCAGGAGAAAGATGTGGTAGTCTGCTTCCATAAACATTACAACCTTGGAAACCCCGTGAGGCAGTTCTGCTCTGTAGTATAGGGTGTCTATGAGTCAGAATCAACTCAGTGGCAACGGATTTTGGTTGGGTTTTGGTTCGTGCAGTACCACTTCCCCACTATCTCAGGAGGGTCCCTGATCTGTCCTTTCCTAAACACAGTTACTTCTTCCTCCAAACTTCATAAAAGTCTATTTTTTTTTAGAATTTCTTATTAAGTAAGATGAATCTCTGCTCACCGTATTCTGAAAAAAAGTCCATCCTAATTTCCTTTATCATATCCTGGTATTTATGACTTCGTCCCCTTTTTAGCTATTTCAAAGTAAGTTTTCTCCTTTTTGCTCTACCTTCGTCCTCCATCCTGATGTTTAAAAAAATATTTTATTGGGTTTATAGCATTCTTCTTCTTTTAAGGGCATAGATATTTAAATGAAATATGAAAGATAATTGTTTTTGACACTCTGCTTCTTTTCACTATGATGTAAACCCCTAGGCGTGAGGATCACATAGTGTGTGTGCTCTCCTGTATAGAACTGTTAGGTTCTTGGAATCTGCAAATGGTCAAGCAATTAGTTACAATTTTTATATCAGTAAAGCAGCTTACTTCATTCAGGAAACAGGCAAGTAGCAGATGTCTAAGTATCATCTCCCTTTAAATGAAGTCTTTCTTAGGTTTAACCTACTGTTATTCGTTCTAACAGCAAACTGCTCAACCACCTGCTTTAATGGAGGCACCTGTTTCTACCCTGGAAAGTGTATTTGCCCTCCAGGCCTAGAGGGAGAACAGTGTGAAATAAGTGAGTATCGGCCTTCTGCATTCTCCTCTTTTCATGGAACCGTAATTTTTTGGGGGTTGTATGGGGCCTTAGAAAGTTCATCTTGTTGTTGTTGTTAGTTATCATTGCGTCGATTCCAACATATGGCAACCCCATGTGTTGCAGAGTAGAACTGTGCTCCGTAGGGTTTTTAAGGGTGTGACCTTTCAGAAGCAGATTACCAGATACGGCTTTCGAGCAGCCTCTGGGTGGGCTCGAACAACCAATCTTTTGGCTAGTAATCAAGCGCTTAACTATCTGTGGCTAGAAACTTCATCTAACCCTTTTAATATTATCAGTGAGGAATCTGAAGCCCAGGAAGAATGAATAAGTCCAAAGTCTTAAACCAGTGGCTTCTTTTCATTAGATTCAGCTGTCACTCACTTTGGCTGACGGTGGGGAAAAGGATGATCTGGTTCACCTCAAAGGGCTTGGGCCAGATGCTCTCTGACTCAGTCAGGGACGGATTACCAATAAGCAAAGTATGCACGGGCTTACTTGTGTTTACTTACTAATCTGTAGTGCACAATTTTACATGAGTTTCACCACACCTTTAAGTCTGTGCATACCTTGCTTACTGTAAGCCCATGCATACCTTGCTTACTGGTTAATCTGCCTTTGGGCTCAGTTATGTCTGAGTTTGAATTATTCACCATGTTGCATTTTTTGTTAGTGATTTTTGTTCCCTTCTCATTATTCACAGCCCATAGTTTCAGCCCTAGAAATGTAGATGAGAGCTTTGGAATAGTTGGGATTTATTCACCAACGTACAGACATGGAGGGTTTTTTCCCCTGCCATTCATTGCCAGATATTCTCGATTAGACTAAGTCTAACAACACATCTACAAGAAAAGGATAGACACAAGAAAAGACGGGGAAAGAAAGGGAGTGTGTTGGCAGCAATAAAAAAGGGTGAACTTCTAACACACATGTATAACACCATGAATGAATCTCATAGACATTATGTTGAGTGAAAGGAGCTAGATACAAAAGAGTGCATACTGCATAATTCCATTTTTATGAAGTTCAGGTGCAGGCAAAACTAAGGGTTGACAGTAATGGAGAAGTGTCACTTGACTGTTTACTTATGTAAAAAAAAAAAAAATTTACCTGTAAACTTAGGATCACTGCACTTTATGCCTTCTCTATATGTATGTCAAAAGAGCCCCAGTGCCACAATGGTTAAGCACTCTGCTGTTATCCAAAAGGTCAGCTGTTCAAACCCACCAGCAGCTCTGTGCCAGAAAATACCTGGTGATTTGCTCCGGTAAAGATTTCAGCCCTGGAAACACTATGTGTCAGTTCTACTCTGTCTTATAGAGTCACTATGAGTCAGAATCGACTCAACGGCTCACAACAACAAATGTATATCATGCTTCAATAAAAAATAATAATAAAACTTTAAGGGTGGAATGTGGTGAATAATCAATGTTTTGGGAATCAATATCCCAAACGACTTGTCCTGGTTCTTCCATCTACCAACAGTGTAACCCTCAGCAAGTCAGTTAACCTATTAAACTCGGAAATGAGCCAACCCTATCTGAGATTGGTTTATGACCCAGAAGACACCACAAAAGTTTCCTGCCCAAGATGGAGCAGAGGAACATGAGACATCTGCTGAAGGTGCTATGTCTCTGCCTTCTGGATGGGTGTAAAGGGAAACCTGGTCAAGATTCTCGTTTCCAGCTGCATTTTATCCACTACAATACCATTGTGTTTGGTATAACCATCATTTCTGAAGTTGTAGTGGGGTCAAAATTGAATAATTCTAACTTCCTATTTTAACTTTCAGCCTCTAATTTATTTGTGGGTCATGTACTTTTTAATGAATAGTAGATGTAGTAACTATATATTCTAGAGTTCAAATGGAATACCTCTGAAGTTTCCATAGAACATGTAGTTAATCGTTAGGATGTAGTTTCTATTCTTATTAATTAGCCTTCCCTGATAAAGATATCTCTGAACTAACCCCCCTCAATTTTCTCCCCATGCTTACTCTTAGACTTTGCATACTGAGTTGGTTCATGTTAATAAATCTTTGTTCCTGGGCTCATTTCTCTTCCTACGAGTATGCTCTTTCATGTCCTCAGGTTTTATGAATTTTCTGTTGGCAAATACAATTTTGGCAGACCCCAAAATGTGGGTCTTTGAAGGTGGTTGACTGATCCTGCCACACATTTTATCTCAAATCATTTTAGGAAATTCCTGTTTCTATTACAGGAAGCACATTACCAGGAAAATATAGAAATAGGTCTTGAGTTGAAAAAATGCCTCTACTTTTCCCACCATAGACGAAAAGGAGAAATACGTATTTTTAAAACTAGAGATATAATTCACATAACATAAAATTCACCATTTTAAAGTGTACCATTCAGAATATTCACAAAGTTGTGAAGCTATCACCACTATCTAATTCCAGAATGTTTTTATTACCCCCAAAAGAAACCTGGTACCCATTAGCAGCCACTCTCCACCCCCTCCCACTTCCTTCAGCCCCTGGCAACCACTAATCTATGTTTTGTCTCTGTGAATTTGTCTGTTTGGATATTTCATGTAAGTGGAATCATACAACATGTGGCCTTATGTGCCTGGCGTCTTTCACTTAGCATGATGCTTTCAAGGTTCATCCATGTTGTAGAATATATCAGCACTTCATTCCTTTTTGTTGCTGAATAATATTCCTCTGTATGGCTATACCATGTTTGGTTTATCCATTCATCATTAACATTTGAGTTGTTTCTACTTTGGGGTTATTATGAATGAGGCTGCTATGAACACTTGTGTACAAGTTTTTGTGTGAACATATCTTTTCATTTCTCTTGGGTATATGCCTAGGATTGGAATTGCTGGATCATATGGTAACTCAATATTTAACTTTTGAGCAATGGTCCAACTGTTTTCCTAAGTAACTGTGCCATTTTACATTCTCACCAACAGTGTATGAGGATTCCAATTTCTCTACATCTTTGTCAACACTCGTTATTGTCTGTTTTTTTTTTTTTTTCATTTCTTCTGCCCTCCATCAGAACTGATATCTTCTCCGACTTCAGTCTGATCTGATTGTGAGATACACTTGCAGATGTTAAGAGATAAAACCGTGGTTAAAGCTATCTGGATGGATGAGGTGTACATTCATGTTATTATTTAAGGCTCATAGATTTCCGAAGAATTTTTAATGAACATTCAGTTTAAAAATCACACAAATTATTTATGCTGTCTTATAAATAGTTTTCTGAAAATAACTTTAGGGGTTCTTCTTATTCTAAAATTAATGCATGTTCTCTGTAGAATATTTAAAATATTGGATAAAAAATAAAAATCATCCATAATTCTAAAACCCAGAGATTATGGTTGTTGGCATTTGTTGTAATCTTTGTCCTTTTTCCTATGTAAAGCAGAGTTGCAAATATAAGTTATCGCACAATCAGATGGATAGGGAAAGCTTAATGTCTTTATATTGTCAATAGCTTATCTCAGTGTTCTCACAAAGTCTCATCCACTGGTTATAAGTAGAAAAGATAACTCTTCAAACTTAGTCAAATCAGTTTGTCTTCAGGCAGTGGTTGATCTGTTTAACCCTTTTGTGACTCATGGAACATACGGTATCACACCTATTTTTTATGCCTCTGGTGTTCTTTGGGAGTACTTTTCCTGCTGGAAGTATTTGCTTCCCTCCAGTGGTGACTTGTGTAACTGTGAAAGGTGAAAGAAATGTTTATTGAAACAAAATAGCTGGGGTATTAGGCAAAACCAGAGGTGCCCCATGTACCCAAATGGAAGTCCCCTGAAATAAAATCTGTTACCTGAGACTGGTGGGCCAGATGGGCTCCCACAAATCATGTATTTTCATATAATATTTCTCAAAATCTATATTGTTGTTGTTAGGTGCCGTCGAGTCAGTTCCGACTCAAAGCGACTCTATGTACAACAAAACAAAACACTGCTCAGTCCTGTGTCATCCTCATAATCATTGCTAGGTTTGAGCCCATTGCTGCAGCCACTGTGTCAGTCCATCTTGTTGAGGGTTTTCCTCTTTTCTGTTGACCTTCTGCTTTACCAAGCATGATGTCCTTTTCCAGGGACTGGTCCCTCCTAATAACATGTCCAAAGTGCATGAGAAAAATTCTCCTAATCTTTGCTTCTAAGGAGCATTCTGGCTGTACTTCTTCCAAGACAGATTCGATTGTTCTTTTGGCAGTTCATAGATATTCAATATTCTTTACCAATACCATAATTCAAAGGCATCAATTTTTCTTCAGTCTTCCTTAATCATTGTCCAGCTTTCGCAAGCATATGAGATGATTGAAAATACCATAGCTTGGGTCAAGGGCACCTTAGTCCTCTAAATGGCATCTTTGCTTTTTAACACTTTAAAGAGATCTTTTGCACACTCACTGACTCTGCATGCACTACTAAAAGAACATGGCATCAACAAAAAATCAAAGCAGAAAATAATTGAGTCTCGAAAGGCTTAGGTAAAAATGTGTTATCTCTTAGGTTAACTGAGTTTTCCACTGTCCCATGAGTAGAACTTCATTGCAAATTATTTTTAGGAAAAGGAAGTCAATAGCAAAGGATTCTAAATTTTAAAACAATCAGATCTTCATGAGGTTTGTCTCCTGTAGTCTTTGAACTAGCTATGGCCTTTTCACAGTTGCCTGCAGTAGCATTTCTGTTGTGTGGTCACCAGGAGAGAATATCCTGCTTCCTGGATGTGGTGACCCCAAGGGTCCTCACCTCCTTTATGCCAAGAAAACCAAACGACCCTTGGAATCAATAAGAAGGTTCTCGCCCCCAATCGTTCTCTGCATTATCCCCAGTTATCAAGTTCACCCCTCCCAGAACATGAGAAAATTTGGACTCACCAAATATTTCACCATGAATACCCTTCTTTTCTGCCATATAATTACCATCCTATGTCTTGCTTGCTTGAAAAAAAAAAAAAAACCCAGTGCATTACAGAGTACTGTGATATGACTCAATTTTGTGCATTTGATGGGGTGGGATGTTCTTTGATACAAGTGAAATTCAGAGCTAGATATTCCTTTCCTTTGGGTAAGAGTTGGGATCTTGAGTATTTAAGAATTAAATGAGGAAAGCTTTTTCATTTTTAGTAGTCAATTGAAAAGGAGATATTCTATCATTTATGCAAAATATGTAATATGTAATAGTTTGCTTCTTTCAAAGCTTCATTTGGCCATAGACAAAAAGATTTAGAGAATGAAAATTGGGTTGGCTTGGGATAGAGATTTCATTTCTTCTTCTGTGTACCCAGAGGCTTTTGTAATGAATGTTCTGTTAAAGTGAAAAAAAGAAAAACAACAACAATGAAAAAGTCCAAAGTCCTCCCCTATCAAAATCTAATGGCTGTTTGCTCTCTTTGTAGTATCATTATACCAGTCATAAGATATGGCTTCAGGTCGGGGTGAACAGTACTATATCTTCTACTTCTGCCTTGAAAATTTCTGCCTTAGGGTGACAAAGGTAGACTGCAGAGGTAGAATAAATAGACTCTGGAGTAAGAAAGAAGAAAAATATTATATAATTTTGATATCTAAGATTCAAAGATCTGTGAAAACATTAGCAATACCCATTTGACACAAAGTAAAAGAAAGAAAGAAGAATGTATTATTGGGATCCAAGACATTCCAGAAAAATGCATAGCTGTGGTATTGGGCTCTCGTTATGCCCTGCCTCACATCCTCTCAGCCAGCCTATTGCTCCAGCCATTGCTGCAGCAACCAGTTTTGCATAGGCATAACCCCACTGCACCTCATCTTAGCTGTTGCATGCTTATTTTGCTTTCACCTAGAGGCTTTCGTGGGTCCTAAAAAATTAGGGCTTCGAACCAGTTCTGCCTGATTCAGTCATGGTTGACAAAGTGAAACCCGAATGGACTCAAATTTTTAAAATGTGGGTGAAGCAGAATGATACATGGAACAGGAAAAATTACAGGTCAAAGCCCTGCTAGAAACTTAATCTCCCTCTTAGAAAACAAGGGCAGCATGCATGTTGCATAGCAACCAAATCTCTTGACCAGCACAGTTAGAAACAGCAGTACCTCGCTCAAAGATGGCACTGCTTTGAATTTGTGTTACTCTCTGCAGTCCTGGCAATAAACCAACCTCCCGTATCAGACTCCTAAAAGAACTCACTGTGCCTCTTCCAAATCGCCCATTCCAGGGCTTTGACCCATAACTTTTCCTGTTCTGCTTATCATTACACTTCACGCAAATTTTTAAAATTCAGGTCTGTTCCGATTTTGCTTTGCTGACCATGACTGAACTGGTTCTAACCAATTCGAGCCCTCTGAAAAACACATGCTGCACTCACACAGTGTCAGTGTGAAAGTATGCCCTTGACCAATGGTAAACAGGTCCTCACGAATCAACACTCCCCTCCCTTCCCTCAGGAGTCTTTGGGTGGTGCAAACGGTTAAGTGCTCAGCTGCTAACCAAAACGTTGGTAGTTTGAGTCTGCCCTGAAACACTTCAGAAGAAAGGCTTGGTGATCTATTTGCAAAAAATCAGCTATTCAGAACCCTATGAAGCACAGTTCTACTCAGACACACATGGGGTTGCCATGAGTCGGAGTTGACTCAACAGCAACTGGTTACCTCCCTTCCCTCAGTCAGGCAAATTTAAGGCACAGTCTACATGGCTCCTCAGAAGAACCCAGCAGCATTGAGCCCAATTGCCCTGAATGGTGACCAACCTACAAACACACCTTTGTGTTGACTTTCATACCTTCCCTGTTACACTCTTCCTATCCCCTCATCCGACTTCCTAGGATTACTTCCTCAAATAAAAGATCTGCATGCAAACCTTGTTTTCTGAGGAATCCTCAACTAAGACAGATGTCGTGAGGTACAGGTTTAGGCCTACTTTCAGAAAAAGTGACATTCAAAAATCAGAACTCAGAGAAAAGATCATTTAGGGGGCCATTCATTTCTGGTAAGTTATATTATAAATTACAAGCACTTAAGGATCAGTTAAAATATTATTCTGTTTATTAAAACGTAATGTAAATATAGGATTTTGGTAACACATTTATTACAAAAAAAGATATATATCTAAAATCATAAGTAAATATAGTAAGTAGTCTGTTTTTTTCCAAAAAAAGAAACTCAGATAATAAAAAAACCAGAGTAGATCTGAAATAAATGGAAATAGCTGCTATTTAAAAACGTTTCTCTTCTCAAAGCCCTGCAATTCCCTTGGAAATGTAACTGCCTCCGTAAGAAGCACAGAGTTTCTTGCTTATTTGTATTCTTCTCTATTTCAGGCAAATGCCCACAACCCTGTCGAAACGGAGGTAAATGCATTGGTAAAAGTAAATGTAAGTGCTCCAAAGGTTACCAAGGAGACCTCTGTTCAAAGCGTAAGTACTCCATACACATAATCAATCTTGGTTATAGGATAATTAGACTAGCAGTAGTGTCTCATTACATAACTTCTATGCCCGCTGCAAGTTGCCTAGGCATCACAGTTCACCTTTCTTCCTGGACACATATGCTTCCTTTATGTGGACCAAAAGCATTGTATGAAATCTATGCATGTACAGAAAACCAACATACACTCATACACACAATCAAACTTTTTAACTTTTAGGAGTTTCCTTAAGGAAAATAAATTTCTCTTGCCCACTGGTTTCAAAATTCTAATTCTGCAAAGCATTCTTTTGTGAATGTGAAATATCATGATTAGTTTAAGATCACTCAGAACTTTATCCAAAAAGTTGAAAACTGGCCTATAGCTGGAGATTAAATTAGAAAAAAAAAAAAAAAATTAGGGATGAAGCCAAAACTAACACATTCTAAAGAACCGCAGGATAACAGCTGTGTAATTCTGTTGAAAATGAAAGCTCAAAAAAACATGCTTTTTGTCTCCTGCGATTCTAGCTGTCTGTGAGCCTGGCTGCGGTACACACGGAACCTGCCATGAACCCAACAAATGCCAGTGTCAAGAAGGCTGGCATGGGAGACACTGCAGTAAAAGTGAGTAGAGCTCATCTGGGGAGCCCATCTTTTTCACTTCTGCTATCTTGGCTCCAAAGGTTAATCCACCACCAGTTGCCGTTGAGTCAGTTCCGACTCATGGAGACCCCATGTTTGTCAGAGTAGAACTGTGCTCCACAGGGTTTTCAGTGGCTGAATTTTCAGAAGTAGGTCGCCAGACCTTTCTTCCAAGGCGTTTCTGGGTGGACTCCAACCTCCAACCTTTCGATTAATAGTCAAGTTCATTAACTGTTTGCGCCACCCCAGTACTCCCAAAGGTTAATCCAAACCTATCACAGTTAAGTTGATTCCAATTCATGGTGACCGTATAGGACAGAGTAGAACTGCCTCACAGGGTTCCCAAGGCTATAATCTTTACAGAAGCAGACTGCCACATCTTTCTCCCGAGGAGCGGCTGGTGGATTTGAACTGCCGACCTTTAGGTTGGCAACTGAGCACTTTAACCATTGTACCACCAGGGCTCCTTCAAAGGTTAATAGACAAACCATAATTCAGCCTGGCCTTCCATTACATTAAAAGCAACTTCTCCTCCTTTTCCTCCGTACCCCCAACTCTCTAAACTTTAGAGTCTGTGTTTAGAGTGTAAAGAGTAATTCATCACTGCAAAATATTACCATAGATATTTTTTAGGTTAAATTGGAAATACAGGTTGATTTGGTAATATAGTACATTAACCATGAAGAAAATTACAAGTAAAATCAAGATTTTAAATTAAATGTAGAATCAGTATCTAGTTGGCTCTGATTTTATATTCAAGATTTATAAGCTAGCATACAAAACGTGAAGATTTTGCTTTTTAAAATCTTTAAGTTTTATTGGCTGCTAGATGTTTGACATGAGTTCTTTTGAGGGGAAGGAAAGGTCTATGAAGACTTCTATGGGAGAGAGAAATAATTGAGTTGCATTATTGTCAAATTTACTGACTACCAAATATGAACTAGCTTTGTAGATAAACAGAGCCCTGGTGGCGCGGTGGTTAAGAGCTCGGCTGCTAACCAAAAGGTCAGCAATTTGAATCCACCAGCTGCTCCTTGGAAACCCTATGGAGCAGTTCTACTCTGTCCTCTAGGGTCGCTATGAGTTGGAATCAACTCCACAGCAATGGGTTTGGGTTTTTTTGTTTGTTTGTTTATGTAGATAAATAACTGGCCTATTTTATAAACAAAATGAAGCTTGCTAAATTCAGTTGTTCGCTGTGAATTTGTACTCTGTACCAAGCACGAAGCTAGTCACTGGGGACACGGCAGTAAACAGAAAGAAAAGGCCTCACTTCATGGCGCCCAGGTTCTAGTGGGAGGGACAGTCAATCAGCAGTTTCAGTAAATCTGGCACCTAGAACTCAGCTTCCTAAGTATGGGCCCACTGTCCACTTTCCTTCAAGGAAAGGAAGACCTCAGTCATTCAATACTCTTCGATAACAAAAGCCAAAATTACGTCTATAATACTACAAAATAGTGGACAAAACTTGAAAATGTCACATATCAGATGTTATTCTAGATCAATGATGTCCAAAGTGTAGTGTATGTACCCCAGTAGGTATGGAACCAATTAGTTGGGGTTATTGTTGTTGTTGGGTGCCATCAAGTCAATTCCAACTCATAGTGACCCCATGTGACAGAGTAGAACTGCCCCATAGGCTTTTCAAAGCCGTAGTCTTTACAGGCATTGGCACATCACCAGGTCTTCCTTCTGCAGAGCCACTGGGTGGGGTCAAACTGTTAACCTTTCAGTTGGCAGCTGAGTGCTTAACTGTTGCACCACCTAGGGCTCTTTAATCAGCTGGGATACTGAACAGAAATATTAATTTTAATATATTTTTATATTATTGTATTCATGTTTATACACAAATTTATAAACATATATTTAATATAATACATTGTCCCTCTGTATCCGACGGGGATTGGTTCCAGGACCCCCGTGGATACCAAAATCTGAGGATGCTCAAGTCCCTTATATTAATATGGCATAGTATTGCATATAACCTGTGCACATCCTCTCATACACTTTCAATCATCTGTAGATTACTTATAATACCTAATACAATGCAAATTCTATGTAAATAGTTATACTGTATTGCTTAGGAAATAATGACAAGAAAACAAAGTCTGTTTTTTTTTCCTAATATTTTTGATCCCTGGTTGATTGAATCCATAGATGCGAAACCCACAGATATGGAGGACTGACTGTACATAGTGTATCATATATAAATGTTTATACGTATCTCATTTTTTCTAACTTCTCATTTTGGGGCAAATTTTACAGTATCGACATTATGTTAGTCTGGTACTGCAAGTGTGTATAATAAATAGATATACGTGTATACATATTTATTTATTTACTTTAAGGTAGGTTGGTATTTAGTCTAGACTAAACCATTAATTTGATTTTTCACCCACTGAAGTAATTGAATTGTTGACTGAATTGGCTTCAGGTGGGCACAGCCTAATAGAAGTGCAGCACCTCTAAAAATAACTCTTTACCCAAGTGGTAGTGGTTGAATGGCATCCCTCAAGGGAACAGGGGGAAACATTATTTGGACTAAAAGACCCATAGGAGACTAGCCATTTCTGGAGCCATTTTGGAAAAGAATAAACCAAATCCTTTATGCCACCGTCTGCTGGATACAGACCTCAAGGCTTGTCCCAGAATCATTCTAACTTTCCAGAAGCCCTTGGGCCCAGGAAGGACCTGAGATATTACCATACATTCCAGGACTCAATTACAAGTCTTCTGGGCCCCACATCTGGAGCCTGGTGACTACCAAAAGTGGTGAAGACACAAGCACAAGGGATACTCTTCATGCTGATATATTGGGTCACTCTTTCAAAAAGAAGGCAAATAGGAGGCCCTCATGTACAATTCTGAGGGTCTGCCCTCAGAATTCCGGCACGTCTGCCACTCCACAAATAGTACCCCCACTTGTAAACCATTCTGCTAGAAGCTTTTGTCATCAATGTACCTCTGTCAGATGAAAGTATTACATCAAGAAGATGCTCTGGTGCTTGATTAAAATGCAGTTGTGCTTTTTGGGGAGGGGCCACCAGCCATTTTGCACATTAGCAGAGAAAATAAAGCTGAACGAATGGGGTTTATTTTTTTTTAGATGAAGGTTTACAGAGCAAATTATTTTCTCATTAAACAATTAATACACATATTGTTTTGTGACATTGGTTACCAACCCCACAACATGTCAACACTCTCCCCTTCTCCACCTTGGGTTCCTCATTACCAGCTTTCCTGTCCCCTCCTGCCTTCTCGTCCTTGCTTGTGGGCTGGTGTGCCCATTTAGTCTCATTTTGTTTTATGAGCCTGTCTAATCTTTGGCTGAAGGGTGAAAATCAGGAGTGACTTCAGTACTCAGTTAAAAGGGTGTTGGGGGTCATACTCTGGGAGTTTCTCCAGTTTCTGTCAGACCAGTAAGTCTGGTCTTTTTTTATGAGTTAGAATTTTGTTCTACATTTTTTTCCAGCTTGCCCAGGACCCTCTGATGTGATCCCTGTCAGAGCAGTAGCCAGGCACCATCTAGTTGTGCTGGATTCAGTCTGGTGGAGGCTGTGGTGGTTGTGGTCCTTAGTCCTTTGGCCTAATCTTTCCTTTGTGTCTTTGGTTTTCTTCATTCTCCCTTGCTCCAGATGGCGTGGGACCACTGGAATATCTTAGATGGTCACTCACAAGGTTTTAAGACCCCAGACACTACTCACCAAAGTAGGATGTAGAACATTTTCTTTATAAACTATGTTGTGCCAATTGAGCTAGATGTCCAGAATGGGGTTTATTTTGACTAGAGGGAGATGACAAGAAAGCTCTGAGGCACAGAATTCTGCTAAGAACAGACTCCATGTGGAGTGACTTGTTGGGAGGTCCCCAGCACCCAACATCTTAGTGGGGAGGAGGATACTGGAGACAGACTTCCCTGCCTAGACTCACCCTCGCCAGCAGGGAGTTTTGGGCCTCATGGGTGGCAGAGGGAGCAGTATGGTAGGGATTTACTCCAACACATTGTTGGCTCCTATTTTGACCATTCCATGGAGCTACTAGCCTACCTAATGACAATTCAAAGAAACACATTCAGAAACAAAGTATTCTGTTCTCAGTAGTCATTTAACGGCATGCCTGCATTAAAAAACCCCAAGGGACAAATGAAATGCCAAACTTGACTCTCAAGCACAGGAAGATGGAGGCACACTTTTAGAACATATTTGCTTTCTTGGGTCAGTTTTAGGAAATGAATAGAATTGAGTCAGTGTCCTGAGTACCTCTAAAAGTTCATCCCAAGCACCTCTAAAAAACCATAAGTGGGAGGAAAGGAGGTCTTTGATGGCTCTTAAATGTGTAACCCAGTGTTACACTCCACTTATCACCTAGCTGGAAACAGGATGCCCACTTTGAACACTGACAAAGAGTTGGTTCAAATCATAACCTTTTCTCTAACAAGTGTAATGGAAGCCCTGAATTCTTATAAAATTCCTATTTTGTCTAAGTGCGATAGCCACACCTGATCATGTGATCTATGTGAAGAGTGGGATTTGTCATATTGAGTTGGATCCATATCATCTAGGTTGGTTTCGCAATGCAAAGGATCAATGATCAAATCCTCTGCAGAAAATTCACTGTATTCAAGACCCCAGTGCTAGAGCATTACCAGCCAGTAGGTGGAGAAGAGCCTTCCATTCAATCACATTCATCCAAACTTTGCATTAAGAGTTCCTGCATGGCCACAATATATAGCAAGTCGGAGATTCCGTGGAAGCCAGGTTTGATGGAGTTAGTAAAGAGGGTTTCTTTTAACAAGAGTTCTTGAACCTGTTAATCTCTTCATTCAGGTAGCTTTTTGTGGTTGCCATGGTCTTTCACTCTGGGCTGAAAAGGGAAAATGGATTTCGTTTAAATGGTTAATAACGAATCTGAAGAGCCTATTTCTGTAGTGTCTTTTCTTCTAAGCTGTGAATAATTTTGCAGGGTACGGAGCCAGCCTCATGCATGCCCTGAGGCCAGCAGGCGCCGAGCTCAGGCAGCACACGCCTTCACTTAAAAAGGCCGAGGAACGGCAGGATCCACCTGAATCCAATTATGTTTGGTGAACTCTGACATCTGAAACGTTTTAAGTTACACCAAGTTCATAGCCTTTGTTAACCTTTCATGTGTCGAATGTTCAAATAATGTTCATTACAGTTAAGAATACTGGCCTGAATTTTATTAGCTTCATTATAAATCACTGAGCTAATATTTACTCTTCCTTTTAAGTTTTCTAAGTACATCTGTAGCATGATGGTATAGATTTGCTTGTTTCAGTGCTTTGGGATGGAGTTTATATTATCAGTTGATCAGGTTAAAATTTTGCCTTTTCAGTGTGTAGTTGGCAGATAATTTTCAAAATTACAATGCATTCATGGTGTCCAGGGCCTGGGGAACATTAGAAAGGGTAAATTCGACAAAAATGCATAAATCACAAGAATTTGGATGAAGCAGTCAATAGTGCTGAAGTTACACCATTTCAAATTTTATTGTCATGTATTTAGATGTTTCACATTTTTAAAAATTGCTCTTATTTTTAACTCTCAGTACATTTTGACTTTACCATTACTCCAGAGAATTTGATATTAACGAAAAAAGCAAACAAATAAAACATTGTGCTAGTGGCATTTAAACAATATAATATATTGTAAACACAATAAAATAGGGACTATAATGTATGAACTCGTTGCATTGGCTTGAAGCAATATAATATATTGTAAACAAAACACAGCTCTTACAAAATAAACGTTTTATACTATTTGTATGTATAAAATAAAGGTGTTGCTTTAGTTTTCTGAGTGTTGTATGAAGTGATCTTTGCATGTGCTATCTTATGCGAATAAACTTTGTTGCCATTCAGAAGTATTTTGATACTTTGCAGTACCGCAAAGACGCTAAGATGTTCCATTCTCTCACCTGCAGTGCCATAAAGATGCTAAGATGTTCCATTCTCTCACCCTGTCTTAGCACTCCAGACACATCCCTTCTTCCTATCTCTCTGTCTCAGTGAGCAAGCTAATTTTTGGCATCCCTTCAAACTGATCATCTTTAAAATATATCTTCCACATTTATTTACAGATGAATTGTGTGAAGAAGAGTTGCAAAAGCAGAGTTGCTGGCAGGGTTCAGCTTCTCATCTACTATCCCAGGCAATTTGTCCCTGTCCCTATAATTCTATGCCCCCTTAGCAAACAAAAGCTCTACAGTTAAGTCCAGCCAAGCTACTCAAAAGGAAGTTTATTGAGCATATTGTTACTTGACCTGGTTCCTTGAAATTTTTAACACCACCTCAAGTGGCTTCTCAAATATTACCTTCAGCCATATACAATAAAAAACCAAGCCCATTGCCATCTAGTAGATTCCAACTCTTAGCGACCCTATCGGACATAGTAGAACTGTCCTATAGAGTCTCCAAGGCTGTAATCTTTATGGAAACAAACTGCCATATCGTTCTCCCACAGAGCTGCTGGTGGGTTTGAACCACTGACCTTTCGGTTAGCAGACGAGTACTTAACCATCGTACCACCAGGGCTCCTTACCATATACAATACTCCTCCATAAAGGAGTTTTGATAACTAGACTCTTTTTCCTCATCTCATACAATGTTCAGTGATCTTTATAACACAATTTTAGCTTGATGCTGCGGGCATAGTCAGCTCCAGTTGAGAGCAGAGCGAAATGTCTTCTATGGGTTCTTATGAAGAGGCCAGTGTCGTGTAATATTCAGTGCTCTCGGTTATATGGACAGAGTTATAACAGATAAGACTGCCTATTTTCATATTCCTCAAGAAGGCGCAAATCATCACAATAAAGTACAGTTTAATAAAACCATTTTTACTAAGGTAGGGGAGAGGAGGAACCCTGGTGGCAAAGTGATTAAGAGCTTGGCTACTAACCAAAAGGTTGGCAGTTTGAATCCACAAGCCGTTCCTTGGAAACGCTGTGGGGCAGTTCTACTCTTTCCTGTAGGGTTGCTATGAGTCAGAATCGACTGACTCAGTGGCAATGGGTTTGGTTGTTTTTTTTTGTTTGTTTTTTTTTTTTGGTTTAGGAGCAAGGAAGAGGGAAGGGCTGATATAGTGAGGTGAGTGGTTTTTAAATTGGGTAAAGGGAAAATGCTGCCATTTCCAAAGAATTTCCTAAAGCAATAAAAAAAGAAAGTAAACAAGTGACTATCCAAAGAAGGGCGTTTCATCACCACAATTCCTAGGCAGTTTATGCAAATGATACAAATATAAAAATTTAATAAACACATGGAATAGATGTCCTTCATAGTTCAACATTAAACAAAATACAAACCATATACAGGAAACTGACTGTTCAGGTGTTCTGTAAGATTTCTAAAAATTCTAATGTAAATTGATTTTGTACCTGTTTACTGGTTTATTATCAATAACAGTATAAAAAATTACAAATGAAAAGTAATTTTTATTAAGCTTTGGCATTGCAGGATTTTTCCTTGGCAACAGATTTACCTTCTTAAACATGTTCAGTTTGGGCAACTGTTGAAATTCCCTGGCATTTGTTGAAAGCAATTGACAGTCCACTGGGTAACAAGAGAAAACTGCTCTGAGATGAAAAATCACCCACAAAATCCACAGAAGATCATTGCGAGTTGACTTACTCCGTGGTGAGTACTCCGCTTCCTGCTCCAATGGGCAAGACAATGGACAGTCCAGTTTTAAACATGGTTCTGAGGCTAGATGTGGGTCTATGGCTGGGAGAAGAAGAAGAAGAAGGCAGAGAGCCTTAGTCAGCTATAATCCAGGAGCAGGACCAGCTACATAAATTGATGGGCCCAGAGCGAAATGAAAGTGCAGGGCCCCTTGTTCAAAAATTGTTAAGACTTTCAAGACGGTGACGACAGAGCATTAAACCAAACCTGGAGCCCTTCTTCCTAGCAATCTACTTCTGCAGGATCACAGTCACTCAAAACCCTAAGGAGCGCAGTTCTAACACATGGGGTCACGATGAGTCAGAATTGACTCAACAGCAGAAGATTTGTTTTTTTTTTATTTGTTTGCAGCCCTTCTTAGTGCGGGACACGTGCACTAAGGTCACATGCCCATGATTCTGGCCCTATCCAGGAGCAAGTTCTTAGGTCTATGTACCAGAAAGTCTAGGTAAAGTGAAAAAAATTTTCCTCTGCTTAGGAGCTGGCGAGACATCCTCTCATGTACTTTGGACTTGTTATCAGGAGGAATCAGTCCCTGGAGAAGGACAGCATACTTGGTAAATTAGTAGTTGTTGTTAGGTGTCCTCGAGTCGGTTCTGACTCGTAGAGACCCCATGTACAACAGAATGAAGCACTGCACCATCCTCACAATCGTTGCTATGTTTGAGCCCATTGTTACAGCCACGGTGTCAATGCATCTCATTTAGAGTCTTCCTCTTTTTCACTGACCCTCTACTTTACCAAACATGATGTCCTTCTCCAGGGACTGGTCCCTCCTGATAACATGTCCAAGGTATGTGAGATGTAGTCTTGCCATCCTTGCTTCTAAGGAACATTCTAGTTGTACTTCTTCCAAGACAGATTCGTTCATTCTTCTGGAAGTCCATGGTATATCCAACATTCTTCGCCAACACCATAATTCAAGTGCATCAGTTCTTCTTTAGTCTTTTGCATACATATGAGGTGATTGAAAAAATATCATAGCTTGGGTCAGGCACACTTTCACAGTAAAGTAGAGGGTCAGTGAAAAAAAGGAAGGCTCTCAACAAAATGGATTGACAGTGGCTACAACCATGAGCTCAAACATAGCAACAATTGTGAGGATGGTGCAGGAACAGGCAGTGTTTCGTTCTCTTGTACACAGGGTCGCTATGAATGGAAACCAACTCAACTGCACCTAACAACAACAAACAACAGGAAATGGCCAAATGAACTCTTCTTCCCTTCCCTTCTCCCCACACCTCCCCACTCAACTTCGGCCTCATGTCTGGCTTCTAGGACCCAGGCTTTGAGAATGGAAGACTCATTAGCCATCACACCAGCTAAGTCAGAGATGATTTATGGAATTTCGTCTGTATTAGTAGTGCAAACGCGTTAGGAAAGAAAGTAGAGGGCAAATTAAGGAGAAAAAATGTATTGCTTTATATCAGGTCAGGTTGTTTGAACCTTAGTTCCTGCTTATGAAAGAAAGAATTTGAAGCTTTAAGCTTAAAACTCACAAGGGAAAGATATTTTTCAGAATTCTGTAAGCAATATACTTTAACCAAAAGGATAATCTTGGGTTATTCCAATTCATAACTGCTGTTCTTTATTAGGAGACAGAAAGACAGAAACCTGACTAGAGCTGGGATCTTAAGCCTTGTGACAGAAATGAAGTTCATCCCCACCCATGGCAGCTTGATTCAATGAAGAGACAAATGACAGTGTCCAGAAACCCCAAAGACAAAGTCCTCAAAGCCCAAATTAGTTTTGTCTTACTTAAGGAAACACCCAATGCTAAAAGAGCAGATCTCTGATTTTCTACTTTGAAAAGATGAATATTTGCTCAGAGTTTGCATTCGAGCCTGAAACATAACACATTTCGAGAAGGAGCAAACTGCTTCTACAGAAGCAAGGCCAGCCATGGACACCTCGTCCACTGGGCATCTTGAATAATGAATCCCTGGCTTGTACCACAAGAGCTAAACTCTAAGTAGTCTACTAGAGTTTTAAAGCTGCTTTGCTTTTCAGTCGTTTGGCTCTCCTGCCCTAGCTTTGTTTATTTGGATTACGTACTACGTTGTTTCTAAACCAAAACCAGACTGCGGAGGTAGCTTCAGAGTAACAAGCCAAGGTGAGCCCTCAGGCTGCAGCCATCCTGGCTCCACATTTAAGCCACCCTTGAAACGACAATGTGAACATAAGTTATTCCATGACAACTTATCTTGGTGTAAGTGGCTAAGAATGTACTAAAGGAAATTACTATGGTGGTTGCTCCTTTGGAAGAAACAAATGACCTCTGAAACAGAACATCAGGTTGAAATTGAAGCAAGTTGTAGCTTCACTGGCACTGCCAAGAGTCCAGCAGTGCTTTTACATGTGTACCAACCCGAGAAACAGCGAGACTGACATTTCACAGACGTGCATTATTGAGCCTTCTAGCAAAGTTGAGTAATAGGAGAACCAATACAGTGGCTTTCAGCTGAAGACTGTTAGCCTAGCACAGAAGTAGCATTCCAAACTTTTTAGAGAGCCATTCTATAGAAATTTTGGCTCACAGCATCTCTGGGAGGGGGTTATTAATTCCAAGGAGAAACTGAGGCCTAAGGTTTGCTGAAGATCACAAAATAATTTAGAAGCAATAACCAACCTAGCGCAAGCGTTCCTAAATTGTGTCCTGGAGAACACTAGTTGCTTGGGATATTAGTAGAAGTTATATGAAAATGGGATTCTGGGTCAAAACAGTAGGCAATTGGGGGAGGCGGGGCAACACCAAGTTAGAGAGGTGACTTTATTGTTGCAGTTCTCAGAACCTTCACTACACTACCATGTATCATACATCTCCAAGGGGGCACCAGCATGCAGCATTCCCCGAAGTTATTTGATAAAAAGAGCTTCTTCCCTAGAGCAGTCTCCAGAAATAAGATTCCAAACAGCATACTTTGGGAAGCACAGCCCTAGGAAGTAGTTTGAAGTCCCTGAAGTTGGGTCTTTACTATACTTTCCTTTTTTCCTCAGCATTTTAAATGTTTCCTAAGGGTCTGAGGCTAAATCAAGGATAACTGAAACTTGGAACTTACAACACAAAGAACTTCTGATTTAAATTGTAAATCAGTTGGTTTTAGGTAATTTGCTTGTTTTTTC